TCGAGCGCCGGTGTTAGCACTTCGATCACGTTTACTTCGATACCGAAATCAGTACCCTCCCGCTGTTAACTGCAGTGGAGTCCCTTCCCTCTCTTGCCTATCCATTGTCATGCAACATGCCTTCTGGAGAAGTTACCAACGCCATTCCAGGTCTGGGCAACAAGACACGCAAGGAGGATGGTATACCCACTGAAATCTACAAGTTTTGTGTCGACAAGCTGGTGTCCTGGTATCATGAGCCTATTGAACAAGCGTGACAGACGAAGCCGTTCCTTATGACTAGGGCTCGGACATCCTTACTTCTGTCCACAAGGAGGGAGATAATATGAGATTCTGCAAGAATCACGGCAAATATCTTGCACTATTTCTTTTCTTAGGCGATTTCAGGCTGTGCATGATCCTAGGGTGAGGCCCAACCAAGCCAGATGCCGTGCTGAGCGCGAATGTGCACACCAAATACTCACACTGACACACGTCCTTGAATTCCGCTATAGCTACCAACAACCGACGGCCATCTGCTTTGTTGACTTTGCCACTGCGTTCGATTCCGTCCATCGTTAATCCCGTTAACGGATGATGGCACTAGACGCTGTTTCACTAAATAAGATAGCCATGATCAGGGCCTAGTACCACTCCACGATTGCACGCGCACTCTGATCCACACCAATCTTGCAGAACTGTTTGCTTTTCGGTCTAACGTTCGATTAGGCTGTGTCCTGTGGCCCATTCTATTTATTTACTTTATTTAGTTAGGGCAATAGGCAATTCCTTTGAAAACCATATCGATTACATGCCGGTGCGTCATTTCAGCTGTACACCCACGCGTAAAAAGGCACTCTTAAAATGCTATTCACAAATGGTGAGTAGCATCGTTTTTATAAATAACTCTTGTTTGCAAATTGTGTGGTATGAGTTCGACTCCACTGTCGAAGGACAACGGGGGACACCTATAATTATCCAAGCCCTCTTTGAACAGTTGCATGGATGTCGCCTCCATAACTGATTGCGGGAGATTAGTCCATTGTTCTATGTCCCGATGCGCGAGGAATTCAGAATGGGGATTAAACTTACGCATTTTCGTGCGGAGCTCCATCGTTGTCCATGGAGATGAGGCGAGCAGTGCCACTCAAGGCCGTGTACCATAATGTAAACTAAGGAAAAATCCCCTGTACAGAGGGAATAAATTTAGGCATTCCAGTCTCTCTACGCAAGAGTGGTTCTATAGGCGTCTTACTGTTTTTGTTGCGCAATCCACATGCAAAGTCAACCTATCGCCACTGGGAGTAAGTGCGCGAGCACCAGTGCCTGTTCACTCTAATTCTGTCTGACCAATCACCTTCAAGACGAAATCACAGAGGACCTCACTGTGACGACTGCCTAACTCACAAGCTTCGGACGCAGCCCCCTAGTGCGTGGTCGTGCACTCCTCCGACTGTGAACTTCCTCTAACTTATTCCCCATTAGATCTGTAAAGAATACACTATGCCTTCCATCGGACGTATCACTGATACTCTCCCCACACGGAACCGGACCTGAAGACCGCATGGGTTTTACCTATTAAATTAATCAACTACGGTGCGCCCGCCCTCCAGGAATGCAAGTCTGCTGCTGATGATAGAAGCCACAACCGCTACTTCAGTCTTCCTCATCCCTGCCCATATCGGCCACGGGGATGGGTGAGCCCGAGGTTAGCCAATCGCTCGGCTAGATGTCTGCCCCTTTTAGACAGAGGTTCACACTTTATTGGTTGTATGCTGCCTGGAAGAAAGTTACACAGGCATGCCGTTCATATACCCAGGCCGAGTGCTCGACTGACATGCTAGTGTCCAGTTTTCGCTTGGAGCAGTTTTCTTCCCGCAGCCTCTGGTTATGCAACATACTCTCGTTGTTAGAAAAATCAGGAGGATATTAGATGGATTCTTTTAGTAATGCAGTATGCCGGTACAGTTTACGCTTGTCGGAGAAGCTAGAATAAATTCCTTTCCCTGTTAGAAACTGCTAATTTCTTACTGTAATAAATGCTCTATGTCGTGTCGTACAGCTCAAGTTACTACAGTTGGCTCGGACAGATGATGACATGTTACTGATTTGACAACCAAATAACAAACAGCAATGTAACGCTAAGACCGAGTCGGAAGCTCGACGAGTCAAGCGTCTGGTGCGAGTCCTACACTGAACGAATGTCAAATCAAAGTAGTTTAGAGGCCTCGAAGTAAATGTTGCCGACCTAGTTTGATCACAGAGCGTTAAATAAACCAAGACATTCGCTTCTTGTAAAGCTTAGTAGCATTAGGGATAATCACAACCTTGCCAAAAACATCTACCGACGTTTAGCTGACTGTGATGCCACTTTTGGCTGTAATCCGTGCACCAACCGAGAAACGAATACAAAGATAGCACAAAGTGAAAGTTGAACGTTTACTTTAATGGCGATAGTAGTTAGTTATGCGTAGTAAGCACAGATAATGTTGACTGTATGCCGGGTCTTATAGTGTAATCTGATTCCAAATATTGCGTAAATCCTCTATGCAGGCCTCTTATGTGGTCCCCAAAACCAGGCAAAATAAAACCTGCACAATGTAGCATTCTCCAGCGGTACCCGTACAGACTCAACTTATCCAGCAAGCGCTAAATGGCTTCCCTATAACTTAAAAGAGGTACGGTAACGTATAAAACCATTCTAATACACACTGACGAGAAACAGTACGCCAAAGATTCCTCCTTTTGCATACCCATATTGCCTAGTGGTCGACAAAACGCCGAGGATAGTTCTGACGGACTTTTTAATTGGCATGACTCACTTGTTCGAGGATCCCTTTCTACATAGGGCAGAGCCACACTATATCGGAGCACTGCATTGGTATAGTTCTCCGAGTGAAAGGTGACAAACGATGAAGGAACATGTTAGAGTGGAATCACTGACGAAAGACTTCTGGGACACTTCCCCGCCCGCTGAGCAGAGATAAAAAACCGTGTAAACATTCAGTACGTAACTTGGGTCGATAGAAAAGCTGGAAGATGAATCCTACCAGGCTACCCACCAGCGTGCCTACAGAAGGCGGATAGTGAGACGGTCTTCGACAATCAGCGCCTACATCCAATGAGCAGCCACAAAGCCTTTGAGAATGCCTTTAGGCACACTTAGGCATTGATTTAGTGTGCAAGTCCTACACAAGGGC